AGAGAATGAAGATATGTTATTAGTTTAATGAATTTTGGGAAGCTACAATATTGTAAAATGAATATTTCTCTTCAACTTTGTTTTCTGAAGACTCTTGGTAATATACATAGAGCAACTCAGTAAAGGACTATAACATAGTTTTAACTCTTTGAAAATAATTTATATTGATATTTCTAAGTTGGTACTAATATAGTAAAAATCTCTTGTAAAATTCAATAAGTAATTTATTTTATTATACATATATAAATGCACAATAGAAATACAACACAATATCAAAACTAATTTAGTTTATATATAAGCGTTCAGTTTTAATCATTTATTTGAATGGTTCGACAGCTGTATTTTTTTGTTTGTTTATTCTTTTCATAATCGATAATTTAACGGGATCTGTAAAATTAAATAAAGTAATTATAATCAAAAATAATGATACATCGACAAATCCAAAAGCAATACGAAAATGATATTTTGGTGGTTGACTAATAAGTCCCATCAATATAAAAACTGTATAAGGAAAACCAACTATTAATAAAATCGATACAATGATAACTACACGATAAACCATTCGTAATTCTCTTTGTGCACGCGTTACACTATTTACTTGTGTTACACGCTTACTCATTTGTTTAACATAATAAACTAATCTATAATAGATGAACATAATACTATTCATAGGTATTATATACATATAAAATAAACCATAAATTAATACCACAGATCGTTGAAGAGGCATTTGACATATTTGATCATCAACAGTATATATAATCTCACCAGTCAGTATAAATGGAGAAATACATACGAAAGCACATATCCATGTTATAACAATGAGGAAAAATTGAAATCTTGCAGATTGATAAAATAAACGAGTTGGATAAACTGCTAATATATATCTATAAATTGATTGTAATAAATAAGAATAAAACATTTCAGAACAACCAACATAACCAATATAAGCTCGAAATCTACAAGGTGGATCTTCATGTTCAAGTTTTTTAAGATCATTACGAAGTGAAATACCCGTTTGCCAAAGTAAACTACTCGTAAATAAAAGAGCAGCAAGACATGAATTAACAACAAGCATCATTGCAACTGTATGACATGTTTTATCAAATAAAATAATACATAAAAATACAAAACTCAATATAATGGTCAAACCAAGAAAAATAATCAGTAGAATATCGACAGGAATAAACCATGATTGATTATTTATTGATGTAGAATTAGAATCATATGATAGAGAGAATAAATGAGTTGTAGTATTCATCAATGGAATAATGAAAAATAAAATAAGAACACAAGAAAAAGAATATGTTGAGTATGTACACGCTTGCTAGTCATTCTATTATGTTGTTCACTGTCTCATGAAGGCAACATCGTTGTCGAAACATCACAAAAAGAAATAAAAATAAAATCCACCAAGGAAAATTATCATTTTCTAAAATAATCTCGATATTTATAAACTTTGTCCTTACAGTTTTTTCATTAGTAGAAACTCGGAAAAAAAATTGTAAATCATGCGTTTTTTGAAATTTTACAGTGATGAAATATTCAGGGTATTCTATTTCTCATTCTTTGAAGATTCTCTTTAATCTTTTTTGATTAGATATGAGAATGTCAACTGATGTAGAAGATGGTTCTTATTTTTATTATGCTATGCTTGATTCTTTTTGATTACTTCATATGATTATGAATGGAGTTATTCTCTTAGAAAGACGACGTCATCATCAGAATATCATATCCCTATTTGTGACACTTACGACTGATTGAAGCTTGAGCTTAAAATAAATATGAATAAGTGAAGATATGTACGAAGTCTCAAGCGAGCAGAAGAAAAGTTAAATGACTCTTCATACTCAGTCTTTATCTCAAATTCGACTAATACATGACTAGTCCGACATTACATGTGTCTAGTCTAAAGTTGGTTGATACAGAAATTTATTATCTAATATGCAGACTAGCCCCAGACGAGGACTTTTTTAGACAAAAACTACTCAGGACAGGGTGTGGGTGTGAGAACTAGGAAAGTCGACACCCACACCCACCCTCAATAGATAGATTATATGTTAAAAATGAGGGCATCATCAGCTGCAAATTCTGTTCGGATTTTACCTACAAATAAAGTCTATCGACAGTTATTTGATGCACAAGTATAAATTTCGAAAATAATCTAATATATCTATTAAAGAAATTCAATTTCAATAGGTACAATTAAGTGACGCTTATAATCGCGTACGAGATAATCAACTTTCCGAACCTATTAATATTGTAACACATCCTGATGCAACACCATTGGTACGAAATATTAGACCACATGGTAATTATTTTGCATTTAATAGTATCATTTTCAGAGACATTTAAATCGATACTAATGTTAATTACCAACAATGAGCTTAGATTAATCTATGAATGATATAAAATTGTCCTATAGCTTTTATTAAAAGTATTGAATAGATTTACTGTTACATATATAAGCATATGAAATGAATCAAACAGTATATAAAGATTTATTTTAGAATCTCAAAAACGGCAATGGATTTCAAGTTTACCATACAATAATGATTCTTCTATTAATCCAGTAGCAATATTGTAAGATTCATAATTTATTAGAAAATTTACTTTTGTTTCAAATTTAGTTTTCAAGATGAACAAAAACGACGTCAAACTGAAGAAGAACAAGAACTTGAGACAATTAAACGAGAAGTTTTTAATTTACCTGATAATATGAATGGACATGGTTAGTTTGTTTTTACATATATCTTTATCTTATAAAGATAAAACGATGTTTTTTTCTTTCAAATAGGACAAACTGAAAATGATGTAAATAGTAAAGTAAATGTTACTGAAAGATTAGAAGCTAAACGACAAATTAAATTCAAACAATTATGGGATGAATTTTTAGAGAAAATTGCTGAATTAAATCAAGTATTGAATTTTAATAAGAAGTCAAATGTTAAATCTTCTTTTCTTTATAGAATTTATTAAAAGAATTAGAAGGAATAACTCGAGAATGTAATATGTATTATGAACAAGGAAATAAAGGTATATAATTTAATATTCAAAGTTTTTTTTTGAATATTTTCTTCTAGATATTGATAAAGAATTACAAACAATGATCTATCAAAAAGTATGTTATAGATCATAACATACAGAAATCAATTAAATGATTTTAAAAAATAATTAAAAAATAGTTAAAAAAATATTTCTCTTTTTTGTTTCTTTCTTTTCGTTTTTTTTTCGCTTGAATCTTATTTATTGATTATTGTCATATCATTGTTGACTTGAATTTATATAAGAAATAGCAAGAACAACAACAAGAGCAAGAACAACGAGAACCAGAGCAACAACAACAAAAACAACTAAAAAAACAAATTTAAAGTTTTTTTAGCATGATTATACTAGACGAAACGACTGCAAACGATGAAACCATCTAGAACGATAGATACATTATTTTGTAATATAATAGTATATTATACATACGAGAAAATACGACATCATGTTATGAATGTCTATTAATTGTTGGTTCGTTTGTTTCATCTGCTCCTCCATTCGGTTACTTATGTTCACCTAGGGTGTGGGTGGTGGGTGTGGGTGTCAGAACTAGGAAAGTCGACACCCACACCCACCCTCAAGATCGGTCATTCAGGCCATCTGAAATGCACAGTTTTCAGACGTTTGCGATTGTCTTTGTCATCCAGGATGAACATTACGACAGCAGTATGAGGGAAGCAAAATGTAAAAAAAATTAATTTTTTTAATATCATAATTGCCATTGGGATGGAGGAGACTACTGCGAACGATGAAACGACCTAAAATAATAGATAAGTTATTTTGTAATTTTATACTATATTATACATACCACAACACGGTTTAGCAGCTTGTTAATATGATTGAGCTCGTTTTGTATCGTGTTCGTCTTTGTATTTAGTTCTTTCAGTTCATCTTTAATTTCCGACATTGATATAGTAGTAGTACAATTTGGAGATGATTGTATTGATGGCGTGGGTATTGGTATTGGCAAGGTATGGGTGTTGATGTGAGAACTAGGAAAGTCGACACCCACACCCACCCTCCAAATCGGTCATTCAGAACATCTGAAATGCACCGTTTTCAGACGTCTGCGATTGTATTTGCCATCCAGGATGAACATTACGACAGTAGCATGAGGGAAGCAAAATAAAAAAAACATTTGTTTTTTTAATATCATAATTGCCATTGGGATGGAGGAGACTACTGTCAACGACGAAACGACCTAAAATAATAGATAAGTTATTTTGGAATGTAATACTAGATTATACATACAAATAAATATGAAATGTTTTTGTTCATATTAATTAATTATTTGTTCATCCGTTTTAGCTCATCATGAATTTGTGATATATTGTTCGGAGATATTTGTACAGAATTTGAACTTAGTGGTGTTGGTTCCGAACTAGAATTTGATACTCCAGCACTAGCATTTAAAATAACAAATAAAGGATGGGTGTGGGTGTGGATTTCGTATTGTCATATGTTTACGACATCGTTTACCCTCCCTTTCCCGTGACATCCTCGCACTAACCCGTATGTCTCCTTTCTCTTCACCACTATTCTCCCAAGAAACGACTTAATTTTCTTTTCGTAGTGGTATAATCTAAAATAAAAAATGAAAGTCATTTAAAATAAATAACAGATTTTCAATCCACAATTCTCGTACTATTCAATAATCAAGCGTTGTATATTATAGAACTTACTTTGGTCGAATAGACCCGTCATAGTACATTATAATACCTCCACAAATCGAAGAGCTTTACCACAGTTTTCAACTAAGATAAAAAGTAGATCTTCACTTACTTCAGTGGTTCTCAGGACCCGTGTTTTTTCCTCCTTAGCATGATAGTATCAAAGTTCGTTATGTCTGCTTTTCATTTTCTCTCAAGTTCTAGCAGCTGATTGAAACAAATAATTGGAAAAGATATAATTAGTTGAATATTTTCAATAAAACTCATTTTCTAAATAGTTTAGATACTATTACTAACTTGCTGTAACAGATACAAATGTTTTATTTTCAACAGTTCTTACGAACTCATTGATATGTAATGCAAAACCCTATATTTATTAAAAATATTGAAATTAATGTTTAAGAAATACAGACATTGTAAAACTAAAAAGTTTCTCTCTCTGTGTGTTTCAGTTTTAATCTTATGGATAATTTAATTATGATCAGTTTTTTTTAATTAATAAATACTAATCGCAAGTTTCTTATAAGACTATTTGTGAACGTGACCAGTTCTACTTAAGAATAAAATGAAGTAATCTGATTGTTTTAAAAGAACTTGATTCAATATTTTTGAAAATAAAGTATAGATACACTCAATAGTTGTGAAATGAGACGGTCAATCCAGTTCTCCAAAAAATGATTTAAAAAACCTATTAAATGAAACTTCTTTTAAGTACAATTTTTTGATATACAGTGTTCTTATTTAATGAAAATAATTCTTGATTCGATAATACGATCGCACCACATATCATCGCAAAATAATCATGAATATTGAGAAATCGTAGTCGAGTGAAATCTGAATACCATATAGTATTTCAAAGTCATTCGTTTCTAAGTCGATAAATTACATCAAAAATACATTATACTTATAGTAAATAGAAGAAAAGAAAATGCAAAGTAACATATTTGCAGTACAGCAAAAAAGAAATTTGTTTGTTTGCGGCATATTTTATAATTTTCAATTAACAATAGAATGCAAAAAGTTATTGAATGTGTACCAAATTTCAGTGAAGGTCAACGAAAAGAAGTAATCTTTGTGTTTATATTATTTTTTTAATAATATACAAAAAAAAAATTTATTTTCAAGGTTATTGATGCAATTGCACATGCTATTTCATGTATTAAAGATGTATCTTTATTGGATATTGATTCTGGTGTATCAACAAATCGAACAATTTATAGTAAAAATTAGAATTTATTAGATAGATTTTATTTATTTATTTTTAATAGCATTTGTAGGACATACACGCGCAGTTATTGAAGCAGCAATAGCTGCAGCTCGATGTGCACATAATTTAATTGATATGACAAAACATACTGGTGAACATCCACGAATTGGTGTCATGGTAAACTATGTTTTAAAAATGCAGTTTTATTTTTGTAGATAAACTCATAGGATGTCGTACCATTCATACCTGTTCGAAATGCTACAATGTCTGATTGTATTGATATAGCACTTGAATTTGCTAATCGTTTAGCTTCAGAATTACATGTACCTGTTTATTTATATGGTGAAGCACAAGAAAAAGAGTATCGAAGAGATTTAACACAGATACGTAATGGAGAATATGAAGCACTTTATGATAAAGTAAGAAATGAATATTTATATTGAATTTTATTGATGCGTGTTTTTTAATGATTACTTAGCTCAAAAAAAAAGAATGGCAACCTGATTTTGGTAAGAATTGAACAAATAATCTAGTATATAATTAAATTTTATAAATAAGGACCGAGTGAATTTGTTCCATCATGGGGAGCCACTTGTGTTGGTGCAAGAAATTATTTAATTACATATAATATTAATTTATTTAGTACAAAAGAACAAGCTCATCGTATTGCTTTAAATATTTGTGAAGAAGGATCAAACAGCAATGAAGTAAATGAAAATAAATTATTTTTACAATTAAATTTCGCTAATTTTAGACTGAAAAATTAAAATGTATACGTGGTCATAGTTGGTGGTATGAAGAAGGAAATTTAGCACAAATTGCTTTTAATTTAATCGATTTTGAAGTAACTAATATTCATACAGTTTATAATCAATGTGTTAGTGGAGCTAAAATGCTTAATATTGGTGTTTGTGGTTCCCAAATTCTTGGTATTATACCATTAAAATCTTTATTAATGGCTGCAGATTATTTTATTGAAAAGGAAAATTTATTTATTCTTGAAGAAGATCAAAAACTTCGTTTAGTTATAGATCGTTTAGGTTTAAATTCGATTACACCATTTAATCCAAAAAAACGTATTATTGAATATATCATACATGAAGATGAAAGTATAACTTCAATGAAATTAAAAGATATTATGAATCATATTGGTTCACGAACATTAATACCTGGTGGAAATTGTGTTACATCTTTTGTTGCTACATTAGGTGCAGCACTGGGCACAATGTGTGCATTATTAACCTATGGAATGAGAAAAGTAATCAATAGAAAAAAATTTGTTCGATTTTATTTTTTTATTAAATTAATAGTGGGAATTATTCGAAAAAGAAATGCGAATAATTATTACTTCATTACATACAGCAATAAAATCATTAATGAATACAGTTGATACAAATACTGAAGCATTCAATACATATCTAATGGTACAACAAATGACAGAAACAACTATTGAAGAAAAACGTTTGTACGTTTCAAAAGAGATATTTGAAATTTGTTTTAAAATTTTATTTTTAGTAAAAAAATGACTGAAAAATATTGTTTAGAACATTATCTTGATATTTCGTTAGATGTAGCACAACAGATTAATAATCTATGGGAACCATTTCAACGATTAGCACCATTATTTAATATTGATACTAAAGCAGATTTTATAGTACATATATATGAAAATATATAATTTAAAAGAAAAAATTATACTTTATTCATTATAGGTTGGTATTAGATGTCTCGAAACAGCAGTATATGGCATATGTAAACGTATTGAATTCTTTTCTACTTCAATTTTATATAGTGATTTACAAACGGAGGTCAATTTTTATTTTAATCGTTTGTCTTTAATTATTATATTAATATTTAATTTAGATTATACAAAATAATTATGTAGATACAGCAAAACAATTACTTGAAATCGCACAAAATATGACACAAACTATTTTAGCAATAGTTGAAACAAGAAATTAAAATAATAACTGTGATATAATCTATGAATTCATTAGTTTTATTTAATAAATTACACTATTGTCATGATATGATACTTTTTGATAATAGAAAGTTCTTTATCCTAACTAAATAAAACTATGTAAGACTTCGAAAATCAAAGATACTACGAAATAAAATTTTCATTTCTATTTATTCAATAAAATTCATTTATTTATTTTTTAAAAACCAAGTGAACGAATACGGACAATAAAATCCGATTTATTAAGCTTTCCTGCTACACCTTTGATACTGAAGTAGAAATTTTTTGCATTTGCTGGTACATATGTTGTATATACTTTTCCAGTACCATTAACAGCACGATGACTAATACTTCTTGATGAATATGATGATGGATTTTTATTTGTTGTCGATGTGTATATCAAAGCCTAAGAATATTAAAAAAGAAATCAAAATTCATATTAAAAATTATTTTTGTTTTCAATAATTTACCTGTCCTTCTCGATCATTTAATTCGATTTCAAAAAATGCATTCTTTTT